TTGGATGAAAGGCTGATCACCATGACACAGATATTACTGCTTTTCTGAAAACATAATTTTGAAATCAAGCAATAATAGAATATTCTGTATTTCAAAAATTTAGCATGGCAGAGAAAATTAATATTTTTTTTCGTTTTCACCGTTGACACCGGATTGAAGCGGCGTAAGCACCGTCTCGTATATATATATATATACATTAAGAAATTCACAAATCTGACAACTGCTTCTTATTTCAATCAAAGAGAGTTTAATCCAATGGTTTATGAAAATAACAACCATCTACTCATACCATTTCAAATCAGCGACCTCTTCCTCAAGCAATGAAGGCAGCCAGTTCTCTGAGTTCAAACAGCGTGTGGCAGAACAGCTGCGTAAAAACATCCATCACCACAATGGTGAAGAGGTCGATTTTCGAAGTCAGAGGGTTCTTGTTTCTACTCTAGTTAAGTGGAAACTTCTGTCGTAACGACTGATTTCCTTGAGCAACTAATTCACCCTGCATTGGTTCCTTCATTGCGACCTGTCGAGGAAAGAGTAGCAAGTCATTGACTTTCGAACAGCAGAGACAGCGTTGTATTCCAGAATTGGTGAAGGGTATCGTCATTTTATTCTTGGTGCGAGGGCCGTTTATGACTGTAATTCGCCTCGACACATTTGACAGCTTACAATGCAGCGTGATGATCAGTACAAAGTGTAATGCCAGTTGTTTTTGTAAATAGCCAAAAACCTTATTAAATTACTCAGCTATTTCACTGTATGTTACCCAGGCCTACTTATGATAAGTTAGCCAGCCTGTCTATACGAAACGCAACGCCTGTTTATAGGCTAAATACATTAACTTATTAGATAAAAAAATTGTTCGATCCTACTATGCAATACAACATGTGGAATGAACATTTTTAGATACTGTATATAACTAATTTTTTCGATCAGATTTTCAGAAAGCCATGCCATCTCTAGTGAATATGTTAAAGGCATGAGGTACTCAGTAGCAACAATAAAATAATCGCAGCTACAGCGTCTATTCCGTATCCGTTATAGTAGATGCACATTTACTATATAGGACTTTACCTAAAT